GTCAGCTTTGTACCAGGAGACAAGGTGTGGTTGTATAAATCCCCAGGAAAGACCCAAAAGGGGAAGTCTCCTAAGTTGTCTTCTCCATGGGAAGGCCCATATGACATAGTCGATCGTCTCTCAGACATGACTTTCCGAGTAAAATGTGGTCAGCGAGGTAAGACAAAGGTGGTGGATGTCAACAGGCTTTGGCATTATCATGGTCCAGGACATTTCAGTTGGGATGAAGTGAACAATGGAACAAATGATGCTGCTGAAGACGTGTCACCTGAAAAAGTCACTGTTGAAGACGTGTCACCTGAAAAAGTCACTGTTGAAGAAGAAACTCTACCTGGTTTTGAGAAGGAAAACAGTGAAGCCGTTAATGAAGTTACTACCACTGATGTGAATTCTACCGATAATGGGACATTTCCTTATGGAGCAGATGAACCCCACATTAAGCAGAAGTCAATGAGATGGAGACCAGTACAGAAGAAGATATGTCCTTTAAAATTAAGAGACTTTGATGTATTTTAATTTTGTGTTTGTAAATTCTGTACATTTAAATAAGTTATTGTTAATTATCTATTGATTAAATGTAAGTGGCTATTGTTCGGGATGAACAATACTAAAGAAGGGGCAGTGTTACAACAGCAGAAGTCACGCGATGCTGGGAGCATGCACGCTGGAGTTTCTTGAATGATCATGAAGGTCCGAGTGCATTCGAGATGCCCTCTTTTTAGTATACAAGCCTAGCGAGAAAAACCAGCGGGATTGAGGAGATAAATAAAGAGACAATTGAGTCGAACGAACAGTAGGCACCGAAGTAAAGTGTGTGAATCACTATGATTTATAGCATATGTTATAAAGGTTGTTAAGTTTAAAGTGACTATGGAAATTCTGTGTATTACAAAAAAGTTGTATTGAGAAAGAATAAACTAGTTTTAATCAAGAAAGGACTTGTATCGCTGAAGTTTCTCAGAAAGAAACAATCAAGCAGATATGTAACAATACCATCTGTGGAGTGAAAATCCTGATGCTACTGACAGATATGTAGAATGTATGGTGCACTATGATTTCAGATAATCAGCTGTGGGAATAAGCTTTAACATATTGTTTCAGTATTGCTGTATGCATCCTGTTGTTGATCAGTGAGAAGAAATGCTGTTGTATACATACAGGCAAACAGGTAAGTGTAAACAAATACTAAAATAAGTAACTGCCAACAGATTGCCTTAGTTCAGTTTTTACATATGTAAAAGTTCTTTACTTGCATGACAAACCAATGTCACTGTGAAAGTGTTTATGTTGTATGGATGAAAGCAATGCCATGAAGCTATGTTGTTAGTAGTGCATGGTTAGATACATGCATGGGTAGTCTAAATTAATATTTATCAAGCAGAAATCAGGCAATGAGTGAACAAAATAATTTCTTGTGACTTAAAAGGTGTGAACAAAACACGTAAAATAGGTCTGCACTCACTCACTACAGTACCATCAGGGGTTAGAGAGGAAAATGATTGACAGATTGTGAAATCACCAACCTATAAAACAATAAAAACTGAAGTTTAAGTCTTTTTTTTAAAGGTTTCTTTTGAAATAAAAGGAACTAAAACTTAGATAACATAAAACTACAAATTATAACATACATTATAATGTTAATTTCATTGACATACATTGATAGTAAAGTTGTTTAATTAAGTTTTGAATGTTACTCAATGACTTGCATAGAAAGGGATTTTAAAGGGGTACCCATTGTGAAAGGGTTAAGGTTTAAATCCCAAGAACAGATAAAGCAATAGAAACCAATAAGCCTAAGTTTTGTGATAAAAATCATGTTCACTACAGATGTTTTGCCCACATTCCTCTTAATTATTTTAAACACCTCTGATTTTGAATCAGCAAAAAATATACAGTTTCAAAGCTTTATTCAGAGCGTTTTCTTTATTTGTTTTTCCTGTCATAATGCAGCTATGACTTAATAGTATCATTATATATAGTAAGTGGGTGGTAAGTGGTATTTGCTAAACAATTAACCTTCAGGCTTATTGATCAACTATGTTCAACTAATCGATAATTCTTATATGAGACTTGGATAGATGGAATAATTGAAAATATTAATAATCAGAAACACTAATTTTGATTAGTCAATTTTTGTGAGTCATGATACTACTCAGTTAAGCTGAACAGCCTTGAATTAATCAAAAATAATAATGAGAAATCATAATGGCAATATTTTGATGCTCAAAGGTAATCAGTTATATCAATCCATTTAATCATCTAGCTCTAATTAAGTATATGATCTGTTTGATGCATATGAAATAAAAAAATATATTATAATTTAGAAAACAGTTAAAACATTGCCAACATATGTACTTCCAATGATTGGCACTGATATACAATTAACAATGTACCAAACTACTTACTTTCTCTTGATAGGAATAATGTTTTAAATACCTATGATCATAATGATTTTTGTTTGATGTTTTAAACCTACATATGATCTAAATTTTTCATATTTTGAATTAAAATTGATTTTAAACATATACTAACCTTCCAATACAAAAAAACTTTCTTTGTTGAGTTGCTCTCATACTTTCAACAAGGTGTGACTAAAGTTCTGAATTTCCTTGACACAATGAAGAGCAGGTGTCAACTTACTTATTATTCTCCACTCACCCACTTTCCCCATGACTTATTGCATTTGCATCAAAATGATGTATGTCAGCACTACTTTCCCTCCATAATCTATAACCTGTTGTTAGGTGGTTTCCATCATAACTTCAACTATGAAATCTGGATCATGATGGGAAAGCTTATACACATCCACCTTATGTAAGTGCAATAAGTCACATGTAAGGTGGGAGAGTGGAGAAATATGGGTAAGTTGATGCATGCTCTGCATTGAGTCATGAGCATTCAGAACTTTATTTGCATGTTTGTTTATAGTATGAGAGCAAATCAACATGGAAAATATTTTCATATTTCAAAGATACATCTGCTTGTTTTGAATTGTGGGATATAATGATAAAACTTTTGGAATTTTACTAGAAAACAATTTGTATTCATAATTTATTTTCATGATCTGTTGCAGATTCTTAAAAATTCTCTCACTTCAGAATTTTTAAGGTGCTTTCAGTATTAGAATAATTATAGTTACTGAATCTAAAATGAAATACTGCTTTTATAATTTTCTACACATATGTTTGTTATATCTTACCATATAATAACATGTTACAACTGAAAGTGAATATTGTGACTCTTTTTATCATCATATTAAGAGCACAAGCTTTTAGAGATGAAGACTTGTGGTGACCAGACAGATTCTGTTTTATAGTTTCACTAAATGAATAAAATCTAACCAGAAAAGATTTAGAAACATCTACTGTAAGTTAAGAATGTTTAAATAAAAATACATACCAAAAGCTCCACACCAAACATTATTCCCTGTCCAATTTCAGTTACAATGCCTTTATATCTAACAATCCCCACTGCTGGCTCCTTTCCTTCACTAAAATTAACAGTGACAAGTGAACCTACAGAAATAATAGAGGCCTCTCCAAGCCATTGTTTGTTGAAGTAAACTTTAGTTCTTTCCTGGACTGGATTAATTGGAAGTAAAATGTCAGATTCAAAGGATGTGAGTTCTTCAATCTCAGGAGAAAGGCAAGTCACAGTGATCATGTCATCATCAACTGATCGCAGGCAATACAAGTTCTGAGAACAGCAGTTTTTTAGATGTTCTTGAGGATTAAGTTCTATTAGTAAAGAACCTCGGTATAACTGCACCTCTCTTTCTTTTGAATGGAATTTGTCAACTTCTAAAGATGCAAACTCTTCATATGCAGTGCTTAATTTTTCAGCAAGACAGTCAACCAGTAGTAAGAATCTCCGTTGATGGATTAGTTCACTCATGCTCAGTCACATTTTGTATGGATTATAATTCTTTTTTCACCTATAAAGAGAAAAAATTAAAAATATATAATTTCTTTAATTTGGACATTCATTGAAATGTAGGTACACATGTAAACTGATCCTTTTTTGTATGCATCTACAAGGAAATTATTATACTTCTGTAAATAAGCTTTTACTACATGGCAATGCTTTAGTACAGTGAAATACTGCTACACTGAAAAAAAAAAGACAGATTAAAGACTTTAACTGCTGTTATTGCAGAAATTTAAGAAAACCAGAACAAATAATGGTAAGCAAAATTTTCCTCCATCATCTACCCATTCACCTTTGAATTGTATATCTCTACAAACCTTTGAATCCTCAAACCAAATTTCTTTGCAACATCAACAATGAAAAAAAAAGGGAACTTAGGGATGGTTGCACTCATGTCATTCAAAATCTATACTGAAAATAACAGTAAATACCCTCCCCCAGAGGGAAAAAGAAATACCAACCTTTGTTGTATAAGATATATACATTTTTTGCTTTTCTAAGAGGGAACAACAGGATTACTTAATGACAAAAGTTAACATTTTCTAACACTGAAGATGTATTTCCAATAGGTACTTATCTTTCTCACCCAAAGCTATCTCGACCTTGATTTGCTCTCTAAGCATTGCTAAAATTTCCAACAGCACAACAGTTGTTTCTACCTCTCTATTTTTTGTGCCACTGCAGCAGCATGTGCTGATCATGTGACTACCCTCCACCAATCATACTGCGCCACATATACTAGCTCAATCCTCACATTCAAGAATTGGCAGATACAAGCTAAAATACCAGAATATCAGTGTGGAAGAAGGGCAGGAAGTGGGTGAAAGGAGGTAAGTCCCTATCAGAAATACATTTTCAGTGTTAGAAAATGTTAACTTCCAAAACAGTACTACCTCCTCTCACCCAAAGCTAGAATCCCACATTGTAAATATGGAGGGGCCAGAGAAAGCTCAACATCAGTCAAACAAGTGAAGAACAACCACCATGAATGAATAGGTGTGCCATAATTAGAAAAGGAAGCATACCTGAGGGGTATAGCACTGCTTCTGGGACAGGTATGCTCTTTGCCCAGTACTGAATACAGGAAGACATATGGGCAGCATGTAATAGCCAGGCATCATGTCATGTAATAGACTCTGCCCATGGACAATAGATAACATCTAAGTCATCCACATACACATCAAGAGTGAGCACATGACACAATGATAGGTAGAACTGAGGAAGGTGCCGGAGAATCAGATAAGTATACATGGCTAGAGCTAAAGGAACATCAAATGTATCAGAATAGGCCAAGTGCAGTTCACCTAGGCACCTTGCATAAGTTTGTAAGATCAACAAGTGTGATCCACCCAAGCAAAAAACATCCCAAGGAAGCACCTTGGATATATATATATATATATTATGATAGCAAAGTGTGATCAGCCCAGGCAATACATCTGGGGGAACCACCTTGGTATAAGTCGGATTATATCAAGTGCAGTCTTGTTCTTAAGATATTGAGAGATCAACAAGAGCAGTTTGCCAAGACAAAAACATCTGAGAAAAACAACTTGTAATATTACTGAGTAAGGCAAGTGCAGTCCATCCAGACAGAAAACATCCAGAGGAAGCACCTTGCATAAAAAAAAAAATACATATTTTGTGAACAACAAGTGCAGTCAACCCAGGCAAGAAACATCCAGGAGAAGCACCTTGGGATATTATTGTGTATGTCAAGTGCAGTCCATCAGGGCAGAAAACATCCATGGAAGCATCTTGCATGAGAAATTTATTTCGTGATTAACAAATACAACCATTTCAGACAAATCATCCGGGAGAAGCACCTTGGATTGACAATAGTATGGTATAGCATAATATTAAGTAGAACAATGATAGCCCTCTTTTCATTGAGGGGGATGCATATGAGCAATGAATTCTGAATTGGTTAATTGTATAAACTCCACTCCTGAGAAACCTCCATGGTCCACCACACCAGCAACTGGGAATCGGCAGTGGCAAGGACTCCCATTTTCCACTAGAAGAAAGGGGGGATACACATTGGGGAGTCCAGAGGAACAACACACTGGAGACAGTGCAATGGGTGTCTGCGTTTCCTTATTTTGAAAAACAGAAAGACCCCAAAAAATCACGGGTCAGTAGGGATGGGCAAAAATCCCTATTTGATTTACTCATGAAGTCTATGAGTGACAGCCCATGATACATGTACAGTGATAATAAACTATATATATATATATATATATATATATTAACAGGTAGATAGATAGACAGATACACCCCACCAGATAAGCGGCCGGTGATCTTACAGAAACACACCATCTTCACAGTGAGCATTATTAAAGTATACAGATTTAGTACTAAGATATAAAAATCAGCATACATCACTAGGCAACACCTGCCACTAAGTGGGATCCTGAAATACAATAAAAAGCAACAGAATAAGATAAAAAAGAATAATAATATGTCAACTTATCCCAGTCAAAGGTAAACAGATGTGTGGAGAATCACCACAGGAGGAAGACAATCTCTGATCAGAGACGACACAGTCAGGTCATGCAGATAATGCACAACAAATGTATTGGAAGTTGTCCACATACCCTCCTGAATAATCTCCTCCAAATGACGACAGATCTGAGTAGATAAAGGCAGTTAAATGACATATTTGGTGCAAAGAGACATTGTGCAGCCATTAACTTTCAATGGACAAGTCAGATAACAAACCCAACCATTAAGGGTAATAAGAGATAGGTCATGGGAAACAAAGGGATTCCACGGAAGAAAATAGCAAGAACAGGAACCACAAAAGGAGTCAGTACGAGACACATAACAACAAAGGGAAAGAACAAGACAGAGAAGATGATCCAGATCCAATGAGAGTAAAGATGGGAAATAGAATGTAAAGAAATAGGAGAAAAAGCTAAACAACCTTCATGGGCAGCAGATGTCTCAAGAAGGAAGGCACGATCTGGATAAAGGAAACATAAGAAGAATGGTAAAGGTTGCAGGAAACATTAATAGCATAAATATCAGAACAACAATGACCACAAGCCAGGAGAAGGAAATAGGTATTAAGAGAAAGATGGTACAAATAACACGTAGCAATGAGTTCAAAGGAAGGACCAGAAAGGGCTGGAAGAACCACAATAAGATCCCTGTCCGCAAGCACAAAAGGACGGGAAGGACAAACTAGACAAAAGGAATGGAAAAGGAGGGAATAATCAGGTAGTAGAAGGATTTATGAAAACGAAAGAAACAGAAAGTGTTGGTCATGGCAGCCTGATAGCTAATAACATTAAACACAGAGAAACCCTGATCAAATAACCAGGTAAAGAACTGGGACAGATGAGGAACAGAAAGACAGGAAGGGCAGAAGCCACAGCAAATGGACCACTGTCTGAAGGTAGACCAATGTCTCTGGTACACAGACAAAGAGGAAGGCTGAATGGTATGGGTAAGTAAAGACACTAAACGAGGGGTGAGTCCCTGAGCTGAGGTGATGGACCGGACAAAAGCCATGCATGAAGATGGAGTTTGGTGATGTCAGGGCAAATCACATCTGATTGAGGTTGTTGGAGGAGCAACTTGGATGAAGGTAAGGGCAGGGGCTGTTACACCAGTAAGAGCCAGAGCAGAGGAAACCATGTCTGAGCTGGCCAATATGGAGCAACCAGCAAAAATATGACAAGGAGTGGTCTGAATGAGGGAAACAACTCTGGAGATGAGTCAGATTGGAGAGTAAGCCTATAGATGAATGCCCCTCTAATCCTGACTGAAGTCATCCACCTCCAGAGCTGAGTAAGTGGCAAATGCATCTATATGTGGTATTCCCAGGTGAGAATGCACCCATTGAAACACCTGAGGATGAATGTACCACTCTGTAGGAAGAACTTTTTTGGGACAAGACAAGCTGTTTGCCACCAGATTCATGATCCCAGAACATGACATGCTAAGAACTTTATATCATAATTGTGGGCCCTTTAAAGGAAGTCTAGAAAACACAGAAAACTGTCTTTGTTCCCCCTTGTTTGCTTATATAGCTGACAACAGTGGAACTGTTGGAATGAACCATAACAACCTACCCACACAGGAATGAGAGGAAATGATTCAGAGCCCAATGAACTGCCAAAAGTTCCAGGAGGTTGATATGGAAAGTAGCTTCCTCAGTTGACCACTGACTTGAAATCTCCTGAGAGTCGAGGGAAGCCCCCAACCTACCAAGGAAGCATTCATGAACAGATGAGAGTCAGAATGAGGCAGAGGAATGGGAACCCCACCATGGTCAGTTCCCATTTCGAACCACCAAATAAGGTCAGCCCTGATCCAGGCAAGGGAGTTGAAGGTCCAAGGGATCATGGGAGAAGTTCCACTGGTCGAGAATCATCGACTGAATGTAATGTATGTACACCCAACCTAAGGGAATGAGAGCTTCCAAGGAAGCCCACATCTCCAAAAGAGATGGAACCTCCCAAGTAGTAAGAAAAGAAGAAGATAGAGCCTTTGCTACTGCATGCTCCATATCTCCGAGTCAAAGTGGAGAAGGCTCGGACCAACAAAGATGGGAATTCAAGAGAAGCCCCAAATGAATAAGGTATTGTGTGGGGGTTAGAAAAGACTTCTCCCTGAGAAACCCCACCTGAGTAGAGGGTGTGAGTGACAGATTGGGCCTGGGAAGAGGCGATCAGGAGACAGTCATCCATGTAATGAGGAGTCTGATGACCCAACGAGTGAAGATGATGAGCAAAAGAGCGGACTACTCAACAGAACACATAAGGCGCAAAACCAAATGGTAGTGCACAGAACTGAAAGAAACAACTCCCGTGCATGAATCAAAGAAAACAATGTGACTCCATTGCAATGGGAATATAAAAATAAGCACCTGTCACATCAAACTTGGTTCTCAAAAGTTCCGAGGAAAAAAACCCATTGAAGAGAGAGGTAGGATTCCATGATGAAGCTGGGTATCTCCAGAAAGGTATTTAGCTGGGACAGATCAATAATGGGTATCCAATC